TGAAATAAAGATAATAAAAAGGGGAGAGTGATTGACTCTGGGTTGAAAAGCAAACAAAGGTTAGTTTTATTCCTACTCTTTTTAGCTGGGACATAGTCTTTTGAAGCAGTAGCCTTAGAGAAAGCTTTTTTGTAAGAATTTTAATTGTAAAGAATTAATATGAATTAATGAGGCGTCCTCACATGAAATAAAATGTTCAATCCTGATGACTTGACTTGTTGTTGGTATTTATTTTTAAATTTAACTTTTCTAAGAATGGAGAGTTTTATTCCATATTAGTTCCAGCCACTTTAGTTTTGACCTACATTCCCTTGCTACTGTCTTCTCGGATCTCTCTTTGAATGAGACTGCTGTTTAGCTAAGAAGTAAGGAGTAGACAAAGTTCCACTAAAGTCACTCTCCTAAGCTGTTTTGCTTTCCTTCCTACTCATGTATGCTATCTGGCTGCCTGAGTTGAAAGGAAATTATATTAACCTTTTGCACTATCTAAGTGATCTTATGATAATAAAATACACACTTTCATTCATTTGCTCTATAAGCCCTAATTTGAATCTCTTACATTTATAATTCTGTACTAGTTAGAACCCACAACTTCTCCCAGGTGGGTTTAGTTTGGGGTCTACCAAGGTCAGCATTACTCTCCATTTGTCTCTAGATGTGGTTTGCGGACGTGAAAGTGATGACTTGAACGCTGACCATGGCAAGGCTCGTAAGACTGAGAACGTTTTCAGATGAGTGGCAGCTAAACCGTAACAGAATAAGGGAACCCAAAAGTCCAGGAAAAGGTCTATAGGTGGAGACGAATGCAAATATATCTTGGTCTAGATCCAGTAGGCTGGCAGCCTACTGCCAAATTCTCTTTAACCAAATTTATTCACAAACATAACTGTGTATTGCAAAATTTTTTTAATTAATAGACTATATGTAAAAGTAAATTTTTATAAGCTTGTCCAAAGGTCTTTAGCTAATTGAACAAATAAATGTGTTGGAAAGATTCCCTTCAATCCCCTCTAAATTGAATCGGTCATGCCCCATTCATTGTAAAGGATAGTAGTTTGACATTATTTTAAGGTTCACGTGTTTTATATCTTAGAATAAAGATCATCGCAAGACATTCTTTCCCTGTTTCCCCCCTCTAACTTAGCTTACTAACGTTAGCTTCTAAAAACAGTAAACATGGATTTGACTGTAATTAAGAATTTTAAGACAAAGCAATGACATAACTTTAAACTATGTTATAGGAAGCGTGTGTTCACACTTTAATTCATCTTTGTTTCTGTTTAAACTACATGCCTAAGTTATTTTACACGTAATCGTGGGTACATAGTCTTATTCAAGCTCACCCTTTGTGAATTTTAGCTCCCCATTTATATATTTTGTGGAAACTTTTAAGGATAGAATTTTCCCTTTTAGAATGAAATAAAGCTGCAGGTTTATCCCATATTGTCCACTGTGTTGTCTTTTTATAGTCAGCTGTCAAATATAAAATTCTCGAATCATTGTATTATGATACCTTTGATATTATAGAGGACAGCGAAGATGAAAAGGACGATCATAAAAATGTGCGCCAGCAACGGCAAGCAGCATCCAAAGCAGCTTCTAAACAGAGAGAGATGCTCATGGAGGATGTGGGCAGTGAGGAAGAACAAGAAGAAGAGGACGAGGCACCATTCCAGGAGAGTACGTGACGTTGGCTTGTGCGCTTTGGTCATTTGGTTATGATTGTAGTTTGTGAACTTGATTATTTTGGCATTTTCTGTAATGCTAAATACTACAACCAGTCCCTTATATTAGGTGGATGCTCCCTGTTAAAAGAGATGACTGTGTTGGTAACTCATTAGGTTTTAAAAGTTCAGAGATGCCCATGATTATCTACCATTTGTAATGGTTGCACTCTTTTTTTAATGATGTTCATGTCCAAACACTGAATGAACCTTTGTTAAAGTAACAGTTACGTAGGATGTTGTGATTGAAATTTGCATTTTGGCCTGGTGGCCTGGTTGTAGACCTTCTCCCCCAACAAAAAAATGTTAATAACAGGATTTAGGTATTTTGCAGATTATTTAGATGAGTTAATTATATGTATTTTTGCTTTGTGCATAGTTTTCTTGTTTCATTCATTCGTAGTTGGACCAAAAATACCAGATCAGTTCAGTTTCATTTCCCTGATCTCAACCAGTACTACATGGGAATGATGGAACTACCAAAAGTTGTTTGATGGTTTCAGTTTTTATTCAGACTGAGTGTTTTTTGTTTTTTTATTCTTTCATTCAGCAAATTTTTTTTTTATCATGGATGAAAATTTTTTTTACTTCAGAATATTATGGGGGCACAAACATTTTGGTTACATGAATTACTTTTGTACAGTTTGAGTCAAATTATGTGTGTGTCCATCACCAGATGGTGTGCACTGTACCCATTAGGTGTGAATCAGATTGAGTCTTACCCTTCCTGTTTCCAGCCTCCCCTTCAAACAAGTTAGTCATGTAGCTCTCATGTGAGGTGCTCGCTAAACCCATTTTACAGGTGAGGTCAGTGACAACTCCTATCCGATTGGTAGTGCGGCTACAAATACAGTCCAAGAGTGTTGGACTCCCAAATCCCATCCTCCAGTCATTCTTAGCACTGTCTTCCTTTGTTCACTTGGAAGGATGTGTACTTTAAGTTGGGCATTATTCTTCTTTCCTCTCAGAAGATTCCGGCAGTGATGAAGATTTCCTAATGGAAGACGATGATGATAGTGACTATGGCAGTTCAAAAAAGAAAAACAAAAAGATGGTTAAGAAGTCAAAACCTGAGAGAAAAGAAAAGAAAATGCCCAAACCCAGGCTAAAGGCTACAGGTAAGTTCTGCAGAAGTGAAATTAAATGTACTGCTTTAAAATTTTTGAGAACCAATACTTTCTCTACAGAATTTCTTTATTAGGCATTGGCATTGACCTGATATTTAGCAGGAATACAAAAAATGTAAAAGGATCCCATCTTCTACATCTAGAAGTATAACTTACTTATTAATAAGCCCTCCAAGAGTCTGGTGGGTTTAGCCCTGTTCTTAAACTACTGCCATACATAAGCAAGATTTGGGAATGGCCTCTTTGTTGCAGGCACAATGATAGAAACACTGCATCAACATAGCAGTTACTGCCTTACCCCCCACCCCTGCTGGTATCACAGTCCCAGCAGCTAGCAAAGACTTGAAACTGAAAATGCACAAACCTACAGTAATGTATTTAAATTCCATGTTCTGATCTCTACCCCATCCTCTGTGCTATCAGAATAAGACCACACTTGATGACATGAATTCATTTTCTCTGGTTTCTAATGGGTTCTGCCAGATATTCTTCTAGCTGGAGCTAGTTTGTTAATTAAATCAGAAATCAGTTGGCTCTTGTAAGAGTGATTTTATTCTGGCAAATAGAACTAGTGATTTTTAAACTTTTGGTCATTATTTCTTACTGTTGGGAATGATGGAACTATCAACTATTATTTGATGGCTTCAGTTTCTACTCAGATTAAGTCTTATCCTTCCCTCTTTTGACCTCCTTTTAAAGATAAACAACTTTTATCATAAACAACTTTTAGATTCACAAACCATTAAAAATAATGGACATTTTCTCTAGCATCTTGTTTCTTCGTTATAAGCATTACTGCTAACATAACATTAGAGTGTTGGTAAAAACTGATGGAAATCACTACAGCATATTGCAGTAATTTATCATGACCAGTTTAGAAATTCAGATAGATTTATCTAGGGATAAATGTGTATCCTGGTGCCCACTTTGGATTTTAGTAAGTCTGGATGTTGTTTTGTTTTGTAGCTGATTTTCATTAAAGACATTTTTTCTCTTCCCTTCCCCAAATTGTTATTTTTCTACTTTCAGTGACACCAAGTCCAGTGAAAGGCAAAGGGAAAGTGGGTCGCCCCACAGCTTCAAAGGCATCAAAGGAAAAGACTCCTTCTCCCAAAGAAGATGACGAGGAACCAGAAAGCCCTCCGGAAAAGAAAACATCTGCAAGCCCCCCACCCGAGAAGTCTGGGGACGAAGGGTCCGAAGATGAAGCCCAGTCTGGGGAGGATTAAAAGTGATGATGGTTTGGGGAGAGATTTTATTAAAAAAAGGAAAAAAAAAAAAAGAAAAAAGAGGGAGAAAAAAAAGAACCTGCTTAAGATAGAACATGGTTTTGGCTATGGCTTGACTCATGGGCTTTCAGTGCTTTTTTCCATTTGTTAAAAGTAACATTTTTTCTCTCACTCGCTTTCTCTCTCTCTTTTTTTTTTTTTTTTAAGAAAACCATTGTATGTTTAAGTGTTTAAGTTGCCTTTCTGTTTATTGGTCTCTTTGCCACCACCACCCCTTCCCAATGAAAGCCATGTCCAATTAATCACTGGATTGACTGCTTCATCTTTTTATTCTTAATGGAAGGCATACCACGGTTGTGCAGCAATAAGATTCGAGATGAACACTATGGAAACTGCTTTTTGCTAAATGATAGCAAGTTGAATAGTAATCCAAAACCGTAGAAAGGTTTTAGTTGAAGATGATTGCTTCTTTCTCTACCTGGACTTTTTAAAAATCAATTGTCATCTAATATGAATTTATATGTCTATATACACAAGTATAAATGTCTAAAAAAAGTCATGACTTAAACTTCCACTGATGAGGCAGGTAGGAGATAAAAGAATTCTGAATTGTTACTAAAAGTACTCATATTTTTTACCTTGGGGGGAGGGTGGGGAATGGGGTTACCTGACCTTGTTTGAGGGTGTGCGTTTTCTTTTTTTATTTCATCACTTGTTATCTCAAAGAGATTCGGAGCCAGTGATCCTTTTATCCTGCAACGGTCTTTAAGGAGCTTAAAAAAAGAAAGAGCAGGGGGCTGCCTAAACTGAAATCACTCTTGATTTCACATTTCTTTCTCTAATGATTCATGTTTTAAAAATATATATATATGTATCCTGGTTTTTTTTTTTTTGATGAAATTTTACCAAGGATCCCCCCCAAAATGAAATCATCCTAGAATTTAATTGGCAAGATCAGTCTACACATCACAGTGGATTTCTTCTCAAACTGACAATGTTTAGGTTTTAAGCAAATAAAGTTCCAGTTAATGTGAAACTCAATCACAAAGAGTTGAGATTTTTCCTTTATGATAACAAAGAATTGAAATTCTTTTATGCCATAAAATGTGCGTTCAGATTCCATGAACCATGCTCTGCTTTTATTTGGGGATGGAACATTTTCCTTTCTGTATCCTGATCTTCCCGTTTCTTCATAGAAACATGGTAGGAAGTACATCTGTCCACTTTCTGCTGCTACATGGGACACCACTGCACACCCTAGCCCTGGTGCCTACGAACTCTACTGTAGGACACTATTTTCCTGGCTCTGTTCTTCCCTCCCCATTCTGTCCTTGGTTCGGAGTATGTTAAATGCTGCTCCTAATCAGTTTACTCTTGTCTTTTTAGTTTCTCCCAATCCTCTGCTTTGCTGCTCATGCTGCTTCAAGCAGGAGAGAGGGACTAGGGAAATCCTGCATTTTAGGATTTTTTAGGATCAGCTGCATAAGTGGGACGTGTGCAGTTTACATGCCTTATGAAAGCAGTCAGGAGATCTGTAGATTTGATCCGCCACATCCTGACACCATGAGCTAACGGGAGCAAGGTTTAAGAGTCCTAGTATGCTCATAAATATGAAAAATTAGTGAAATTTAACTTCTGCCTTTTTCCTGCCTTTTAATCTAGATTTGCTTCCTTAACATCCTACTTTGTGGTTTTCTTTCTTACTTTTAAGTGACAGCATATTTTTCTTAGACAAAATGGCTTTCTTGCAAGTGATCCTAGGACTAAAGGTTATTTAAGGATTATTTTTACTCTGATTTTTAAGACACTTCAAGGATCATTCTCACTCTGATTTTTTCAAACACCCAGTGGCAGAGTCATTTCACTGTTGCACTGTGTGTTAAAGAATGCATAAGGAGTTTTTAGTGCGTGGCCAAAAATACAGGGCTTGAACATAAGTAGCAGTTGGATGATTCTCTTTCATGATGGTTAAATTCATAGTTGTAAACTTTGTAATAAGCGTGTTAAAGATTCATCATTTGCTCAAGTGGGTTTGTTCAGGTATTCATTACAAAAAGGTTTATGTTCATATAGTAAAAGACCTATCAGTGTTTCCACCATGCACTTCTATTTTTTAGGAGTTTATAATTTTGTCTTACATTCCTAGTAACATTGGGGCTTTTCTTAGGTTATGTTTCATGAAGATTGGGGGTGGGGGCGGCTCTTAAAACTTCAGCCTCAGATTTTTTTGTGTAACAGTCTCTTTAATATATTAATCTGCACTAACATCTCTGTGATATATGCACATCTTTTAGAGATAATCATGTCTTGTAGGTTACTTGTGTGCATTTAATTGAGCTTCTTATTTAGGGTCTCTTTTAAAATTAATTCATTAGATTGAAAAATGTATTCTGTATTTCTAATAGACTGGACAGGAGGATCTTTGTCCCCGAGTGAGACAGGCTCTGAATAACCTTTGTTTTCTCCACTTTTTATTGATGATTTAAAACACGCTAGTCTTCCCCTCAAATCCTGCATGCAAATTGGAGGATGGTTGTGGTGACTCAACTGGAAACAGGTGCTCAATAGTCAGGCTCGATAGTGATGTCAGGACAACATTAGGAGCTGTAAGCCAATAGCGACTGGCCGTTGGCACCACCTTTGACTGAACTTCCTCTTTTTTTCTAGTGTGCCTATGGTGAAATGGCAATAGCGTTCACTGTCTTATTTCGCAGTGCTCAGGAAGTGGGATGTTAACTTTGAAGGTGCTTGTTTGTGTTATTCGAATTCTCTATGTTAGCTCTGCTAGGTTTCCCTTTACGACATAGGTTTCGGCAGCTATGCTGACTGACACTACATCCTAGTTCTTAAGATTCTTTTTTTCCAGACCCCACCTCCCCAGCTAGACATAGCTGACATCCTACTCAATCTGTCTGTAACTTGCTGCTGCTGTTAGTCCTCCACCTCAGATCAGAGTCGATGGAGTGGGCCCAAAGGATACATTTTCATTTCAGTGATGGTAGGTAGATCTGTCCTGCTTTCTAAAACATCTCCCCCATTTCCTAGCTCCACTCCATATTGATTCCATAAAGGAAAATTAAGGGTGTTTTCTCCTTTAGGGAGGTAATGAGTGGAAATCGATCTTGAGGAATAATAGTTGATTTCCCTTGAAGGAGCTTGGATGTTGATTTTTTTCACAATTAACTGGTTTGCCCCAGTTTAATCCTCAATTTAATACTTCAATTCTTGATCCTGGTTCAAATAGCATTTTCTTATAGATAACAAATCAAGAGTGGAATTGGAGGTTGTACTCCAGTAAAGTTTTTGACTCTTGTGAATATGGTCAGCTAGACTGAACTTAACACATATTTTAATGGTTCTTTTTTTAAATCCATGAACATTCAAGTAACAAGTGGATTTTAGAGTACTGTTTGGGGAAGGGAATAATACTTTTTGTTAACCAAACTTCAGTCTAGAAAGTTGTTTTGAGAGTGTTAGAAAGGCAAGAGCAGAATTTCATACCAGGAGCAAGGAGCAGCGGGAAAGCTTTCTAAAAGATCACGTGGCCATTGTTGCTGTATTGAAGAATGAGTGTGGTCCGAACAGTTCTTTCTTTGCCTGCGTCACCAGTAGCTCCCCTGAAAAGAAAAAACTTTGACCTTAGGAGTTTGGAAAGGAAGAAACCTGACCTCTGGTCTTAATGGCATTTAGACTGAGATACTTTTCTACACATTTCTTGCCACAGGATAGGGAAAATGTAACAAGCTGGTTGCTCTTGAGGTTAGAAAATTATCCATTTCTCTGTGGATGAAGTCGGGTTTAATTTAGAGAGTTGGTTTATATTTGAAGAATTGGGACACCAAGCTATCTATAACCAAGTTTCAGTTTCAACCCATTTTCCCTTTGTCTTGGATAAACTCAATACAACATGATTCATTTTGAATCCCAAATCCATAAGTTACACTTTTTTTTCAAAGCCTAATTCACAAAATTCACAGTGGTGCTGACTGTGTATAACCACTATTGGGAAAAATCCCGTAAACCTGCCTGTTGCCATGCCAATGGGGTGACTGAACTGGTGACATCTGTTGGAGCATGCTTTGTGTGGCTGGTAGAATGCCACAGTGCGCATACACTTTGTACATCAGGGGTGAAGGGAGGGTTTTCTAGATTATTGGGGGAGGGTAAAATTGGGATTTTTTTGTTCCTTTTTCGATGGGGTGTGGGGGTATAGTACTCAGCTTATGCCCTAAAATAACATGTATAAAACCCCCCTGAAATATTGTGTGGGTGTGTGTGTGAGTGTGTGTTTGTATATGTCTGGCAATTAAACCTTTGTCTTCTGGAACTTAGTGAATTCTTTTCTTTTTTTCCCTCCAGAAGTATTTGTTACAAGATTTGTAAATAAGAGCTCTACTTAGTTTGTTTACCATGAACGTGTTGCAGCAAACCTTATGCACCGAATTCCCGCAAGATTTACAGAAAGACTTAAGACTTGCCAGGTTAAGCAACAGCCAAGTTCTCAGTAATTGTTTGCCTTGATTTGTCTTTTAGACTTCATTTTGCCGGCTCTAAAATTCCCAGTCTTCCTTGATTTTAGTCCTTAATTTTTTATATTCTGAGCAGGAAGGGTAAAAGAGAGGAACCTGCTTTAAATGTATTAGTTCCTAGGCTGAGATGGGGCCGTCTCTTCATCCTGCAGTGTTGCTAGATACATGATCAGACACCAGAGGGTTGGGCATTCTTGCAATACCTTAACAGTGCTGAGATCTGCAGCATGGTACTAAGGAAGTTAAAGTTTGAATGTAACCACTTTATTTAAAAGGTTTTTTTTCCTTTAATTTAAATGGGGTTGAAGTGAACATGATTTTGTTGACCATGTTCGTGAATTATAGATGCAACATGCATTGGTAGAATCGTGTGATGGTCTTTTGTGATACTTAATTTTTACATATCCCAGTCTCTGTATGTATCTGCATAGACAAAGAAAAAAAAAAAAACAAACTCCTGCTTTGCTTTCATTGAAGGGTTTCCAGGACTGCGTGTCTGCTCCTGAGCTCTGTTTTAAGTATGTGTATCCTTTGCTTGTATTTTGTATTATGAGCATGTTGGCATTGTCCCCTTTATTTTTTTTCTCTTTTTGGGACATATGAAGCAAGTAATTCTTTTTCTGTATCTTTTTTTCTTTTGTAAACTTTTTTTTTTGTTTTGTTTAAAAATGGCTTTATAAAAGGGCTTTTATAACCCAGATGTGTGCTCTGTGTACTTCTTGTAATACTTTAAAGCAAATACACTGACTTATACAGCTGATTATCTTTGCCCATCAGCTCCCAGTCCGGCCTGACTTTGGGGGGAACCTACTTCCCAAATAAATTATTTAAAAACTTTAACAGTGACTGTCCCTGTTGTTGATAAAAGAAAAACATGTCTCAAAATCAGTCCTTCAGAGCATGGAATCAAGAGGCATGGATTCATCGGTTTTTGATTAGTTAAGGGAACACTGGGACCGGGTCCATGAGGTTTGCAAATTAACATTTTTTCTCATGTGCATATCCAAGGTTATGAAGTACTATGGAGGGCAAAGTTCATTTCAACAATCATAATCATATATAATAAAAGTATTTATATTTGCAAAACATTTGCATTCAGTTGCAAATACCCATGAGAACTACACTAAACCATCTTACAATTTTGAATTAAATGTTACTTCTTTCATGGAAACATGGTACAAAATCCCTCTTTAGAACTGGGCCAATATTATAGCAATTAGGGCTTTTTTCTTTTCAGCTTTTCTCCTTGTTTACATACTTGCTCACTCAAATATTGTAATTGACATGCAAACTCACCTTGACTTTGGAATTTAATGCTTTGTGCATGCTGTTAACTGTCAGTGATTAGCTAACTTTACATTTATTTCTTAATGGTTGTCTCAGGTCAAAGTTGACTTAGGAAAAAAACGTTGACCATCCACTTTTCCTCATAATCTCTAGGTATTTTATGGATGACATTCCAAATTTTATGTTTCAGGACAATGCTGAAGAAACATAGTCTGGTTTAAAGGATTTCAAAAACCATCAAGTGGATAAACGGATGCGTAGAGGTAAAACATGTTTGGAACTACCTTGACTCCTATCCATGAGCGTTAGTTTACAGTACTACACTGTAGTGGTACAGTACTAATTATCTCGTTTAATTTTCCCAACCACTGTGAGATTGGCAAGATGTTTGCTGTTCCTCCAATACTGTAGAAAATACCCTGGTTCAGGTAGGATGAGGTCTGAGGTGCCACGTGATGTGGCCAGCGTGTAGTACAGCAAGGGTTTGAATGAGGTCAGTGTGCTTTCAGTTGTCACAGGGCTAGTTCTAAAGTCAGCTGCCATTATCTTGCATGAATGGATCCCTTGAGCCTTATTCCTGAGATTGAGCTCCTGAGCATTTTGCTATTCTTTAGCGTCTCCATGTAACAGTGATAACTTGAATCAGTCCAATGAGTTACTGGGGAAAATCGGAAACTTCTTTTCAATGAGATACGAAGATTTCTCATTAAATACTTCAGTTAGCTTGAAAATCCCTCTAACCCCTAGACACGAAGGCTCAAATGATTTAAAAGCTTTTATTTTCTGATTGTGTCTCAAGATGGTGACTGTATTGAGGAAAATATGAGTCATCTTGGCTATATAGCGGTTACCCTCTGCCAGTAGAGGGCAGTGTTTGTCCTCCCTGTACTTAATGGAATGCTTGCTCTCCCCGTCTCATTTTTAAGTACTGTGCCCTGGGCTCAGAGTCCACTGTATCACGACACCGTGCCACCTACTTGGGTTACAGAGGTTCTGTGATCAGTGTGCCCCCTTAACATCCTACTATATGCAGCAGCAATCTTTTCTGGACTTTAAATGGAAAATAGGATCTCTTGATTTATGCACATCTGTCCTCTTACGTTGTTCCCTTTTTACGTCTCCCAAGCCTATGTGGATAACATCCCAGAATGAAAGTGCATATTGAGATTTCAAAATGCAGCTATGAACTCTTGGCCCTATTTTGAAACAGGTGTTGCCTTTCTAAATTGCCTTCCAGCTCCAAGCCTTGTTTCTTGCATAAGCAGCACTGATAAGTGTTCACACACAGTGAATACTGAGACTTGTTTTCAAGGTAATGTGGTACCTTGTGTTCCTTAATCTTGGTGGCATGCTTCTCTTTCCTTCTATTAATAGAATGGACAGGTCCCCATTCTGACATGTTTTGGCTGGGTCACCACCAGGAGAAATCAGCATTACTCATGGGTATGCCCCCGTTTCAGTAGTAAAGTCCTGGACGAATACTGTGAAATAAATGTTGTGTTAATTCTGGGGTGAGGAAGTGAGAGGGTCCAGCCAGAGTTTCCATCCTAGTAAAGCAAATAATTAACTTAAAATATAACATAAAATGTTGGAAATCATAGTTTCCCTTGATTTAGCTCTAAGCTGGCACCCAGAAGTGATTTGTTTAGAAAATCTAACTTTAAAGAACAGGTGGATCAAGGAAGAGTACACATATATTACTGTTATTGGTAACATTTTAGCTATTAAATTTAATACACACGCACACACACACATACACACACAAGCCCTTTTATTAGAATGCGTAAGACTACCTCCTTGTCTGATATGCAATGCAATGTTTTTAATAGTTATACTTTTTCCATCTTGGGTAGAAATAGGAATATATAGTCTTTATGTAGTCAGGGCTCTCTTGATTACAAGAGATTAGGGTGGATGGATTAAATCAGACTCTGAAAGAGACAGAAAGTCATTGATCCAAGAAAAATGATGGCCTAAATTTTAGGCTACAATAACTACCAATTTGGTAACTCTAGCTGATGGGTTGTGTGGTAAGAAGTGATTCTCATCTACAATGAACTGAATATGTGTAGTGATATAATTAACAAAATATAGATTGTGGAACACTAGTCTTTACCAAAAAGTGTGTAGAGATAGTAGCATACAGTTGATCCTCACGGTAGCTATAAATCGGTTCTCTTATAGTTCATTAATTCAGCCTAATGAAATAAAAACACAAAGCATTTTAAAAGTATGGTTTTACTTCTGAAGTAGTGAGGAATAATGATACAGTGAAGCTCTTTCATAAGGCACTAAATATCTTTAGGAATCAAGAAAAACTCAATTGGCATTCCATTTAGATCTTGGAACATAATCTGGGGCTTTAGTAACATAACTTCATATCTAATGCATGCCACATCTCAATTACAAACTCCAACCTCCCCTTGTCTTGTCTTTTCCTCCTGCCTCTGACCTAATTTACCACTAACTCTCTTCCCCTTCTCCTTTTTTTTTCTTTTGTTTTTGCGTGTGCGAATGAACAGTTGGTTTCCATGGGGTTAGTGTTTTTGAGGCAAATATATTGTTTATACATGAACCAGGTAGCCCTAGAGGTGGATGGAGAACCAGCTGTTCTGTAGAGACCCACACAGTTGGCCTGAGTACAAGATAAATAGCATTTCCTGGTAAACCTGGTACAATGCAGAGCTTAGATACCAGAGCTCTATTGTAGGGGATGCTGGTATGACTGCAGGTACACAGGATATACACGGTATCTAGTTCAAGCGAGTGGTTGTTGTCCTAGACCTTATACAATGGGCCAGTCTTGGCCCATTAGCAAAGCAGCTCATTCCTTCTCTTGCCCTGCTTTCCCTCATTCTCTTCCCACACACTCAAGTGAAGCAATAAGACCTAATATTTGGGCCAGGCATGGTGGCTCACACCTGTAATCCTAGCACTCTGGGAGGCCGAGGCGGGTGGATCATTTCAGCTCAGGAGTTCGAGACCAGCCTGAGCAAGAGCGAGACTCCCATCTCTACTAAAAAAAATATAGAAAGAAATTAGCTGGACAGCTAAAAATATATAGAAAATATTAGCCAGGCATGGTGGCGCATGCCTATATTCCCAGCTACTTGGGAGGCTGAGGCAGAAGGATCGCTTGAGCCCAGGAGTTTGAGGTTGCTGTGAGCTAGGCTGATGCCACAGCACTCTAGCCTGGGCAACACAGTGAGACCCTGTCTCAAAAAAAAACAAAAAAAAAGTCAAACAAAGACCTAATATTTGGCTCATGGGATACTCTTCTCTACAAGTCAGCAGCATTGGGCAGTCACTGAGAAGCAGATGCCTCTCTCTTTGGGAGATTTAAGTCCAAGAGAGAACACACTAATAATGCCAGACGGTGGAAATGGGAGTTCCTAGAGCACCTGTTGCTTCTACAGGTCACCTCTGAATTAGTCAGCAATATTCATTGACAGTGAAAACCATGGTGACTATATCCCAACCCAAAAATTGGGACCTGTGCTATAATGAGGTGTTTTGTCATGTACGTCAATAGGAAAAACAGTCTCTAATACACAGTTTGGATCTCAGAATATTGGGATGTCCAGGATATTTTTATGGTTTAAGGAACTAAGACATGAAATATTTAAAACTGGATTATTCTAGGGAATTTATGTGAATAGTATAAAAGCTGCAACAGATGTTACACCGCGGAGTTGAGACTAGCACATAATGCTCACTATAGCATGAGTAGTCCATCCTTTGCTTTATTTGAACTCCCAATCACCTTTCCTCCTCTGCTTCCTTGCTTTGGAGAAGCTTTGTGGCCGGTGGCGGATGAAGTCAAAAGATCAATTTACAGGGTGATCTTGGGTAAGTCACCTACCTGCCCTCCCCTCGCCCTGTGCGCTTTTCCTTTTTATATAAGGGAGATAATAAGAGACTGATTCTCCTCTGCTTCAAAAGGACATTGTGAGAGTGAGTGAGGTTATGTGTATTCACTGCCTGGAAAACAGGCTCTCTGTGCACGTAAGTTGCTGTTGGCGTTGTAGACCAACTAGCCTCAAACAAAAGCAGCGATGTGCTTCCAGACAAGGTATATGGCTGCAAAACCTCATTCCTGCAAAACCGAAATCCTTTTAGCTTGTGTCTTAAGTACAAATGAGTTATTTATTACTAAGAACACTCTTGCAAAAAGGTAAACTTTAACCAGCCACCATATAGGGTGGTTTTAAAGGGAAGGGGAGAGTGGCAGTAAGCTCTCAAGTCACCTGCACTAGTAAAAGTTTTTTTCTTCTCTTTTCTTTTTGTGAGACCAATCATAAAACAGCATAGTAAAAGTTTTTTTTTCTAGTGTATGTACACAGAACTGTTGACTGGAGTTTGAATGTTTCCCCCAACTTCTCATAGGAAAAAAAAAATTTTATTCAATGGT